GCCCTGAGCTCACTTTGTAGACCAGCTTGGTCTCAAATTTGCAGTGATCGACCTGCCTCAGCCTCCTGAGTGCTGGGATTACAGGCGTGCACCACCATGCCTGGCCTCCTTTCTTCCTTCTTTAAAAAAGAAATTACATGCCCAAGTGGTTTATTGAGTCTTTTCCCTGAAATGCTAGACATTTCTTTTTCCAAGTTTTAGTGCTTTATTACTACAAACTGGGTTGAGTGTTTTCCGTGACTGAGATCATGCTGGTGTTTCCCAGCCTGAGCACTCTGGTATTTGGGGCTGGGTGAGTTGTTGCGGTTGGGCTGCTGAGGGCTGTCCTGCACATTGAAGGGTTCAGCAGCATCCTGATAGATGCCAGTGGCCCCCCCTTCCCCATTGTGATGACCACAGATGTCTCCAGGTGTCCCCTGGGAGGAAAGTGCCCCAGTTGGAAATACTAGACATGGTTCTCCGTTCTTGAAACCGGTTAAGGTAACATTAGAATTTTGGTTTATTTGTGTAATAGATTTTTAAGTTAGTGTTATGTCTAACTCAGATGTAGGTTAAGTTGCCACATTGGAGGAAAAGATTCATTGGGACTGTTCAGAATACACACTTGGAAGTACTAAGCAATAAGACAAAGTTTATATATCTCAAAACAAGACTGTCCCACTAACTTCAAGCTTATTTTCCAACAGTACAACGATCTTTCTGATTTTGAGATTAGGTAATTATGTGTACAATTCTAAGAATACGAGGAATAAAGACCGCTTATTTTACTACAATAAAGTAAATGATTATTACGTCTGCTGCAAAAAAAAGTCAAATACAAACAACTAGAGCTAGAGGTTGCTCGCTTTTAGTTTCTTAGTAAGAAATATTGGCTCTAGTTTTAGATAGCGAAATAAGTGACTCTGCTTAGGTTTTTTGTTTAATTTTGTTGTGTTTTTTGGTGGTGGTACTGGGGTACTGGTGATTGAGCTCAGGTCTTCACTCTGAGCTATGTGCCCAGCACCCTTTAACCTCTCTGAGAAGATAAGAGCTCCCTGAGTTGCCCCAGGCTGTGCTTTGCTTTCCATCCTTGCTGCAGCACTTTGTTGACCCTAGAGGTTGTAACCGGTGAAACAAACTCGCTTCTTTTTTCTTGCCCAGGACTTTTTTTACGAAGACATAGAGTCTTTGACCCAGGTGCTGAGGGCTTTGGCTACAGATGGAAATAAACACCGGGCCAAAGTGGACAAGAGAAAGCAGCGCTCCGTGTTCAGAGACGTCCTGAGGGCGGTTGAGGTAGGCCTCCTAAATGCTGGAATAGCTGCTTATTTTGAATGATTGTTTCAGACTGGACTTGACAGCTGTGTCATTTTGTTGATTGAATTTCATCGGGACCAAGTGGTACTGGGAATTGAACCAGGGCCTTTGTGCTGAGCTACATCCCCAGCCCTTGTTAGTTTTTGAAACTTGGTCTTGCTAACTTGCCCAGGTGGGACCTGAGCTTGCTCCTGCCTCAGCCTCCTGAAGTGCTGGGATTACAGACCTGTGCCACTACACTTGGCTCCAAGCAGATTTTTAACAACATGGGTGAAGAACTGTTTTTAAGAATTAGGGCAGTGTTTTTTGTGAATATGTTAAATTACACGCACCCCTCAGTCTCCAGCATAACCTTATCTTTCTGCAAGGACCTTTGGGATCACTCCAGGAACACTAGGAGCTAAGAATTGAAAAACAAACACATCATCTGCCAAGCCACTTCATCATGTGATGCTTGAGCTTCTTCTGTGGTCCTCTAACCTGCTTCATTTCAGTCTGTGTGCAAAGAAATAGATTTAGAAACCTTGGGGGATTAGAACACCTGTCTAAAATGAGCCGTAGGATAGGGCAGTCTCCTATAGGATACTTCAGTCTAACCACTGTTTCCATTGGCCGGGGAAGAAACATTTCTTAGGTATAAAGGGTGGTTTCTCAGATTACTTCCAACTTTTAAGGCCATCACTGCAGGGCCAACTTTGATGGACACCTGTGATTCTCATCCTGCATTTTAATTATTTTTATAGAAACAAAACCTAGAGTATAAATTAGATCCTCTGGGATCTAAATAGTTTGGTTGATGGTAACTGTAATCACATTCTAGTAAAATTTATATTTATTCTGTAAAAGCTCATAACTTGAGCAGACAATGCTATTAAGAATTGAAATTGTTTTATGACTATCAGGCAGTATTCCTAAGTTACACCAGCCATTCTCTTTGAATAACTGTAAACCATTTCCTTTTTTCTTCGTTTTGTGAGACTGGGTCTCACGAAGTTACCCAGACTGGGCTCAAACTTGGCTCCTCACGCCTCAGCCTCGGCTCCCCAGGGTACTGAGATGCATGGTGCCTGGCTGCTATGAGCTTTTCTTCTGTTGTTTTTGGACAGTGGAGCCTCCAGAGATAAGGCGATGACATGTCCTAGGTTTCTGGGTTAGCTCTGACTTCCGATTCTGTGTCTTGCTGGGTGGTCGATGGTAAGGGGTCAGCACGACCCCGACAGTCTGTGCATCAGCCCCTCCACCACCACGTCAGCAGTGCGCTGCTCAGCACCGAGAATCCCGAGGAGGAAGTGAGTCTCAGCGCGTGCAGCTCCACCAGGCCCCATCCCTGGAGTTGCCAGGCCCGCCAGCGCGGAGGCCACTCTTCCCCTGGAGTGAGCAATCTGCCGGCCCTCTCCTCCTCAGCTCTGGGTGCCCCACCCCTTCTGTTGGGCTCCCCATTCTCCAACCTCTGCCTTCAGTGCGCCGCGGAAGAATGGCCTCTTTGACTGGAACCCAGCTCCCTTGGGAGGACCCTGCTTCCTTGATGGATCTTTTAAGTGAAGGCTGCTCAGCTGCCGGAGAGAGACACCTTTTAGATGTCATATGGCCGCCACGTATTTCCATCGATCAAGAACCCACAGACATTTAATAGATTAGATGCTTTGCCGTATGATTTCCTTCTTTCACTTCCACTGGCAATAGAACTCCTTTTTAAGGAAAAATAAATGCCAAAGTCATCTGTAATCCCAGCACTCTGGGAAGTTTTACGTAGGAGGATCATAATTTCACGCACAGCCAGTGCAACTTAGTGACTTAGCAAGACCCTCTGTCAAAAAAGGGCAGGGGAATGTAGCTTTAGTGCGAAGGCCCTGGGTTCAATGCCCAGTACAAAAACAAACAAGTAACAATCAATCAGCCAAAATAGTAGGTAGCAAAACTGAAACTTGATCCCTCAGTACTGACCTTCGTCAGCAGAGCCAAGCACTACAGATCAATAGGTCCAGTGTGAGAGGGAGTGGAACATTTCATTATCCGTGGTTAACTCACTGGTGACCTTTCTAAGAGCAGCGTCAATGGAGCGGTGCCGGAAGAGCCCAGCTGAAGTGCCCTGGAATGTGAGGAAGTAGACAGGACACGTGCATCCGCAGTTCTGTTAGAAACCTTGGCTGTGTTGGGAAGGGAAGAATCCGCAGCTGGCACGTAGCGCTGGATTGTATACTACAGGGTTTGTTTTGTGTCTTGTTTTAGATGCTAGAAACAGTTTGTGGGAAAGGGAACCGGTGGAACAGGAGCATTCAAAATACAAGTGAAAGATGAGACCACCTAGGTTAGGGAGTCTAAGGGTCAGTTACGTTCAGGAAGGAGGAGGACTTAGGATGCAGGTGTTTTTGTAGGTGGAGGCTGGGAAGTGGAGCTCTTCGCAGGTGTGGCCGTCAAGGTTGAAATGGTAGAGTGCTGCTGTACTGGTATAGTTGAGCTGGTGAACACCAGCTGCTCACTGTGTGCGCCTCACAGGCGTGCTTTCTCTTCCACCGCCAGCTCCTGGAGCCTCCGAGTTGCTGGCTCTCTCCTTGGGCTTGGTCTGTTAGCCCTGGTTGTCTTCCTTCCCTAGGTCCCTGCTGCCCACCCTCGCCTTACGCAGGTCTGTCTTCGTGATCGTTCCTTTCCCCGTCCCAGATCAGTATAAACCCCTGGCCTTTTTCGAGTTTCTTGAGCACGTTTGAAATTTTAAAATGTTCGCAACAGTGTGGTTTTGTCATTCATACTTGCTCAATTTCAGGTCTGTACAGTTAGACAAATTCTACATCCTCACATCCAGGACAGTAATTCTGAGTCTTTCCACATCTCAACTGTAGAAGTACCAGTTTAAAATACTGTTCATTTATCTCATTTTTCTGTTTGTTTAGAAATAGTGTTTATGTAAAATCTTTCTGGGCCATTTTCATACCTGTGATGAATTTGTCTCTTGCATTGTCTAGGAACGGGATTTTCCAACAGAAACTGTTAAATTTGGTCCTGAACGCATGTATATTGATACTTGGGTCAAAAAACACACTTATGACACCTTTAAAGAGGTTCTTGGATCAGGGATGCAGTACCACTTGCAGGTGAGTGACATTTCTATACCTTTGCTTGAGAAACATCTTAAATGCAGCTCCCTGAAAACAGTGAATTTGTTTTTGAATGTGAGATCGAATAGATGAAACTTTCCTTTTGTATAGTATAAGTGCTTGAATGTTTTACTGTCAATGAAAGCACATAGTTTCACATGGTTTTCTGGGATTCAAGGCAATGGAAAACAATTCGCTCTCATACCAAGAGACAGAAAGTGTCATAGGTCCATCCTTATCGGTTGCACATGACTTCTGTTAATCAGATTCACTCTATGTAGTGAAAAAGAGCTATGATATTTAATATTGAGCCTTATTTTTTTCTTTCACATAAGTCAAATGAATTCCTTCGCAATGTGTTTGAACTTGGACCTCCGGTGATGCTTGATGCTGCAATGCTCAAAACAATGAAGATATCTCGTTTCGAAAGGGTAGGCTTTTGCTTTTGCTTTTGTTCATAATAGAATTAAATGCTCTAAAGAAAGACGGAGGTAAAGCTTTGATTCTGCCTGGTGACTGGAACTTGGCCGTGTCTCCCAATACGTGGAAGTTGAGTTTTTCATGATGTCTCACAGAGTAGCTGTATTGAAGGTATAGAAGCTTTATGGCACTTAGAATGTGGGGAATTTAATTAAAAATTTTTGCCCATAACCGTACTACTTTAATACAGAAATTATTTTTGAGTCTTGTTCCTTTTGAGTGAAATATTATACTTAGTGAAGTTTCACACTCTGAGTTTCAGGTAAACATTTTCAGTATCCTTAATTTTATGTGTTTTGTTGAGGTAAGAGTTACGTAGGAGACTATTTTGAAGTATACTGTTCAGTTGCATTTGTTACATTCATGGTGCTGTATAACCAGTCACCTCTACTTCCAAAACATTTTCTCACCTCGAAAGAAAACCTATTACCCCAAAGCAGCACCCCCAATCCGTTCCTCCCAGCCGCTGGTGAGCACTAACCTGTACTATAGCTCAGGTTTTACCAGTTTAGATGTTTGATATAAATGAGATTATACAACGTTTCCTTTTTCTACTTAGCATAATATTGTCAATGGTCATCTGTGTTGTAGAATGCGTCAGAGCTTCATTTCTTTTTGTTGCTGGGTAATATTCCATTATATGGATATACCATGATTTGTTGATAAATTCATCTAAATTGATTTGGGCTTCATCCATCTTTAGGCCCATTGTGAATATTTGTACTGTATATGGATTTTTATTTGAAAACTTTCAGTGTTGGAGAGGTATATTCCTATGCATGGAATTGCTCGATCTTTTGGTAATTTTATATTGAACTTTTTGAGGAGCCACCAGATTTATCCAAAGCTGCTGCACCATTTTGCATAGGTACTAGCAGTGCTTAAGCATTCTAGTCCTCGTCAACGTTTGTTACTCATTTTTCATTTCTAGTTAGAGCCACCTTAATGGGTATGATGTGCTTAATTTAATTTCATTGGGCTTTTTTTTTTTTTAGAGTTTTTGAGACAGGGTCTCACTGTGTGTAGCCCAGGCTGGCCTTAAACTCACAGTGATCCTGCTGCCTCAGCCTCCAAGTGCTGGGATTATAGGCATGTGCCACCACACCCGGGCTTGAACTTTTATATTTAATTACTGATGTGCTCACATAATTAAGAGGCATTTAAAACTTTCTGGTAAAATTACATATTTTTTTCTTTTGGACTGCTGCTTCTTCATGGAAATAAAGCATCAGATGAAAACATTTGATAGGCTTTGCCAAATTACTTTCTGAAGTTACTCTGTCATTTTTAATTGTCGCTACCAGTGAATGAAGGCATGTCGCTGTTATACACAGGCTTGACAGCAGTAGGTTTTCTACTTGTAAGAGACTTCAGTGCTGAGCACAGTTGCACATGCCTGCAATCTTAGCACTCAGGAGCCTAAGGCAAGAAGATCATGAGTTCAAGGTCAATCTGGGCTAGACGGCAAGTTCAAAAACTGGCCTGGATTACATAGTGAAACCTCATCTCAAAAAAGAAGAAAGGAAAGTTAATGTAATTGGTATTAAAATGGCACCCCATCATTATATTTTTAATTGATGGGTGGCTGATGAGGATTTTTTTTCATGTTAATCATGATTTTCGTATTAACTGATGGTCATCTTTACCTTCCTTGGTTGGAATTTACTTACTGTTTATGTATTTGGTTCATAAATTTTGTAATACAGAGTTGCCTTAACAGTGTTGTTTTCTGCCTCATTCTTTGTGTCTTACAAATATTTCAAATATTGAGTCAAATTAGTTCATTTTTTGCAATTTTACTTTTAATCTTCTAAGAACATCTTAAGTCATACTGATTCATGTGTACTTTCCTCTTGATTGCAGCATTTGTACAACTCTGCAGCTTTCAAAGCACGGACAAAAGCTCGAAGCAAGTGTCGCGATAAGAGAACAGATGTTGGAGAATTCTTCTAGATTTTTAGCACTTGATGACTTTTTTCTAGTTTCTTTTCCTATTTTTAATGTATATAAGCCTTAGAGACAGTTTTTATCTTAGGTCAAGTTATCTCATTTTTGTAGTGGGGAGGTGGATTATATATTCCTTCTAACTTAATGTACAGTATTGTAAATGATGAGTTCTGCTTATTGAATGTTCTCTAAATATAATTAGTAAACATGAATAAGGTGTAATGTTTGGTCATGTTCTATTTAAGAAACAAAAAGATTGCATTTCACTTGATTTCATGTTGAAGACAGTTTGATTTCTTATACTGTGCTTATCAAAATAGTGGCGATTTTAATGATACAAGAACAAGATCATTAACTTAGTGTCTTACAGATTTGGATACAAGTTTTAGGAGCTAGTTCTCGGGGAAAGCTGCTGTATTTTAAATTTTAAATGGACTGTACCTATTTCAGTTTTTTCACTGGGATAAACAGAGGAATTATACACTAAAATTTGCAAGCGCTACACTTAAAGGTCATTAATTAATTTTCGGCTTCTGGAAGTTCGGGGCAAGTTAGCCTGGGCGGAAAGGTTGCTGATCTGAACCTCTCAGGTAGTAATACTCATTTTATCTGCAGTGTGAGAGGTTGTTCTTATCACTTGGAAATAAAGATCTTTTCACACTGAAAGTGCTTGTTTTCTTATAGAAGAAACATTTTAATAACTTAGAGGTATAGAGTTCAAAATACTCAAGCCAGGTAGGAATGTTGTATGTTTGAAAACTTTAAAATGAAATAAATGTAGCAATATAAAACTGGCATCCAGCTGCTGACTTTTATTTCTGTTTGGTTGTCTTAAGGCTTTTTTTTTTTTTTTTTAATGAAAACTTGTAAGCTTCTTGGCAGTGTATTAAAATTGAATTATTAAGCTCAAGGTTAAATTACATTGTTTATTTTTTGTTGTTTTTTTTGTTGTTGTTTTTTTTCCGGTACTGGGAATTGAACTCACGACCTTGCGCTTGCCAGGCAGGCGCTGTGCTGCTGAGCTAAATCCCCAGCCCCTTAAATTACATTATTTAAATGATATGTGCAGTCTGGAATCTATAGACTTGTTTCTTTGATTTTCTTGTTGTAGAGACTGGTTGAGCAATGGAAGCATGTACCAAAAGTACCAAAATCGTGTCTATTTTTACCACACTGGAATTTTTCCTCTTCCTCCCACTTCTCCAACAACTTCTGGAAGGGCTGACCAGCCGCTAGGTGCAGAGCATTGGCCGGCTCTGGCATCTCAGTTGCTAAGTTCTGTCCCTTGCAGCTAGGACAGTGGGAGATGAGTTGGAATATGGACCTTGGCTTTGTGTGTTGTCAGTTCTTTATATCCTAACTAGACTGGGTCTGTGGAGAAGAGATTGCAGTATAGTGGGTTTTTCCCCCTACACTTTCTATAAGAATGGATTTTTACTAAAGTCACAGTGTAATAGTACTTCTAGGCTTATAAGGAAGAGACTGTAAGCTCAATCCTTTCCCATCCCGGGAGACATTCAGCCTTTACTTTGTTTTTCTAGGATCCCAGTTTCATTTTTCTAAATAATGTACAGCTATTTTTTAGTTTATTGTTTTTATTTTTATGTATTTGTGTCCTATTATGACCAGTGAAGGTTGTCTTTTTATTTCCCCTTTCCTAGTCCAATATATTTTTTTGGGTTAACTCAGCATTATCATTTGCATAATTGTAGTCATACTTATGTTTTCACTCCTGAGCTAGTTTATTGTACTTACATTTTTATTCTTAGAACATGTTGTCCTGGAGTTAATAATTGTCTTTTTTTCATATGTTCATCATCAGTTCCTCCCAAGCGTTACTACATAAATTTGTAGAATTGTTTGTTTCAGCGGACACTAGTTCTCTCACGTGAGCGTCTAGCTCTGTTCCTGAATCGTAACTATCACGCTGGGTTGTTTTCCTCTCCAGTCGGGCCCCGCGTTTTCTGGACCCCACATCTTGGTTACCCCATGTTTGCTTGTTACAGTGCTTCCTTCAGGAGCTTCTTGGGAAAGGACGCACAGGTGGTGGTACACTATCTTAAGGCTTCATATTTCTAAAAGATGCTTAGTGTATGGAGCTTTTGGTAAAAAATCAAATTCCGGATTTAAAATAATGAAATGACAAATGTATTCAAATTCAGAATTCTGAAAGCATTGCTGCACTGTTCAAATTGGCATAGTGGTGAGATTTGGCAGTTTTTATTTCTGTTTCATCTTAGTTTGCTTTTGCTCTTAAAAACCTATCACTAGTGTTGTAAAAATTGCATGATACAGTGCTTTGATGGGCTTGACAACCTGAAAAAAATTTTTAAGTTCTCATGTTTTTGCATTTCCTCCCCCACCAACTTTTTCTTTGATGTGGAGCTGCATGATACTGGAATTGAGCCTCAGGCCTTGTTTTTCTTTCTGATTTTTTTTTTTTTTTCTGGGACATTTCTTTTAACACAATTTTCCATTCTTTGTACTGCGTTTTATTTTGTTAAGTTACATGCCAGTGATTAGCTCTATGCTTTTGCCTCAGGGTCCTAAGCCTGCCTAAATTCTGTAGGGTCATTGGGCTCCCTCATCAGTGAGAGGCCTACTAAGGCAGGCAGCGCTCCTGGCTTGGTCTCCAGCCCATGCCATCGCCGGGAGGTGGTGAGCCCTTTAGGAGGGGAGGCCTGGCGGGAGGGACTGGGTCATGGTTGGCGTGCCCTTGAAAGGGACATGGGAACCCCCGTGTCTTACTCTGCTTCCTGCCTGCCACGACACGCCTTCTCCGTCACATGCCTGGATGGTCTCCTTTGCCACAACCCGCAGGCAGCAGGGCCAAGTGACCGTGCAGTGAGACCTCAAGCTGTGCCGCAACAAAGCTGCCTTTTCCTTTTTGCAAGTTGGTTTAGTTCAGGTCCTTTGTCATGAACGGGGACCTCCCTGCCATCCGCCTAGTTTCGATGTCACAACGGTGCTCTCTTCCTGTGTTGCAGTGGTCAGGTCGGGTCGGAGCCCTTGCCGGTTAGTAGTCACAGTGGCGGCTTGTGCCTGCTGCAGGGTATTTATATTCTGACGCACACTGTGGCCCGAGTGCTGGAAATGTGGTGTCACTTTACAGTCTTCAGCTAAATAAGACCCTTCTTCACTTGAGTCTCCTAAGAACCTCGTCAGTTACCAACTGCATCAGGGCTTTGCGTGTGTGTGCGTGTGTGTGTGTGTGTGTGTGTGTGTGTGTGTGTGTTTTAAGGCATAGTTTCAGAAACATTCACTAAAAACCTTACATGGGGAAAGCCAGTATTTCGAATCTTGCATTGCTTGACTAAATTAAATATAGACCACTGTTTAGTGTTAGCGTTTATGGGCCGCGGCGCACTTGTGCAGCTGAAGTGAGAGAAAGAACTACAGACTTCAAGAAAGAAAAGTTTCACTGTTGCTGCCGAGTAACTAGGTGCTTTTTCCTGGTAATGGAGTAGTCAAAGCTCGTGTTTGTGTAAGTAATTCGCATGCTGTTGCTGTACTGAGACTAAATCATGGTTCTTAAATCTGGGAAGTCTTTGTGGCATGTGCTCTGTGCTTGTAACTTTTGCTAGAAATAATTTAAGCCTATTTTAACAGCTACTTCCTGAATGTGGAGAGGCAGGGACTCTGAGCTGGAATTACAGAGCAAACTACCGTCACTCAGTAAACCTTATCAGCTTTGAATTAAGCCCCTTGTAACCATTCTGATTTGTGGCAGGCATTGTTGATGTTTCTGTGGTTTGATACCAGCCACGTTCGGGGAGAAAAAATAAAGTACAGGTTGTTTTTTGTAGACAGCTGCATTTATCAGAATATTTACTTGTAGGTAGTCACAAAGCATTAGCTGTTAGAGGTGACTTAAGCCAGAAGAAAATGAAATTACATGTTTCTGCTGAAGGCGTAGGATGGTTCTGTTACGAGGGTGCTGCTTTGGCCAACCGTGGTGAATAAGCAGATTTGCACAGTGGAGTGAGGAAAGAGGGTGGAATTGGTGTGGTACAGAATTGCTGGTATTACTGGTTTCTCCAGCTTTGTGGGTTGTTCCCAGACGTTCTCATTGGGAGATGCCAAAGATAGCAACCACTGGGTGTCAGACAGCTGTGAACCCTGGCTTCTCGGCCGTGTGACCTTGTGTTCACTTACGGCATAGTCATTCGCAAACCACTGGCGGCCTCCTAGCCATGGGCCACACTCCACTCTGTGTTCTCTGCTAGTTTTTGATTTTCTGTTTGCATGTTGAGGTTGATTTTACAAAACATATGGAAGTTACTACTTACATTGTGACTTTACCCTAAAGAAGAAATTTTCTTTGAGAGCACTTCAGAGCCTTTTCTGAATTGTCTTAGATTTTTTAGAATCACCTTTTGACTGAGAGGGGAAGCTACAAATTTGAAGTTATTTTTTTCCCCAGCTGTTCCATTAAAGTCTGTTTTTCAGCTATAATTTGTATAACTAGTAAGCCTCACCGATTAAGCCTTAGTATGAGATGTAAGCAGTAGCAGTTACATTCCTGACAGGGAAGCTAACTAAAGCTCAAGGATATTAAGTCAGAGATACGAAATGAACCACGGATCAGTCACCAAGCCCAAAATAGAAGCCTTGTTGAGAATGAGGATCCTGCGCTATGTTCCATACAGCCTCTTTTCCTGGTCAGACATTAATGGTTGGGATAGCAATGCATAAAGAAATGAAAAACTGAAGCACTCCTGAAAGAATGGTTTAGGAATCTGACTGTGCATTAGTAAACACTGGGGCCTTGTTTTTTTCTGCAAGGGAGCAAGAACTGATTTGTAAGGCTCTTTTACTCTGTGGCTGGTTCTGCTGCTTTTGCTTTTTCATTTTATTGTGTCAAGTTGTTTATTCTCTTAGGAATGTTCCATGAAGTACATTTTGTAATTCAGTAATGTCAGTATCTAAAGTGCTCTACTCGTGTCTTTTTTTTTTGTTTGTTTGAAACAGGGCCTCGCTATGCAGTTCAGGCTGGTCTTGAACTCACTTTGTAGCCCAGGCTGGTCTTGAACTCTCAACGATCCTCCTGCCTCAAGCCTTAGCCTCCTGAGTGCTAGTGCTGGGATTGCAGGCGTGCACCACCACGCCTGGCTCTCTACTCAGGTTTTAAAATGTTCAAGGAATCGTGTTCTAGTTAATTAAAGTTTCAGGGTAACCAAAACACTCTTTTTGGTTTTAATTCTGAAAAAAAATTTTTTTAATTACCCCATATTTTTTGAGCTCAATTGTGTTTCTTAGCTAGGGTCTCAGGAAGCACATTTTCCAGGAGTACCAGTAGGTGGTAGGTATTACTGGGATATTGTCAGGTTTGATAATTTATAGGAGAGTTTTAGATGCTTAGTAAATGGCTGATACTCTTTTTTCAGCTCTTCTGTAGATGTATTACCCCAATTTAATTTCCACTGACTCTAATTCTAGTCCTCTTCATCCCATAGCTACTATTAAAGCATTTTTTTTTTTTTAAAAATGCTAACCGGAAGTAAATTGTGTGTTGCCGTTTCCAGCCCGGTACAGTATTTGTTGCATTGACTTTACCTGGAGTTCAAGTAGATGTCACCGGGGGAGTTTTTACCCTCAGTCCTACTTCTATTAGTATATGTATTATTAACTGCCTCAAATTCTTTTAAAAAATAGGCTTAAATCCTAAGTAAATATTTTAAAGGTTCCAGCTTAATAACAGGAGTCCCTGACTTCTAAACCTGGTACTGGACCTTGAATGGAATTGGTCCCTACTCCAAAGGTGTTCAGCCTACCGAGGAAGTCAAAGATGTAAGCAAACAACTGCAATAGATGTCCTGATAGAATCAGAATATACAGTATCCAGCAGTAACACAAAGGAAAAGAGGTTGGGTATCAAGAAAATTGTTTGCTTTGAGTCCTGAGAGAGGCTTAGAGAGGGGTATGGGAAAGAAAGATAATGCAAGGGAAGACATGATGAGCGCTTGACAAGAACCTAATTTGGCTTTGCGACTGGCTAACTGCATGATCTTGGGTATTGGCCTTCAGTGTCCTTCTTCCTTGGTGGAAAGGATGGCACTCAAGCTGGGCAGTCTTAGTCACTTCCTTCTTGCTGGGACAAAATACCTGACGCCTACAACTTGCAAGAGGAGAGGTTTATTTTGGCTTCTGGTTTCTGTCCATGGTCAACTGTTGCCAATTTACTTCCGGTTAGCATTTTTTAAAAAAGGCCCTTTAATAGTAGCTATGGGTCAGCTGTTGCAGAAACAGGATGGCAGAGGGGCACAGGGGAAGAAAAAGTGCTCTGCCCATGGAAACCAGATGGCAGAGACAGAAGGGAGGAGCTGGGGTCAGGAATGTAGCCCTCTAGTCACAGCCGCCTCCATCCAGACCTGCCTCCTAACAGCACATTCAGCTCTGACCTCTGTGGATGAATCCACTGAGGACTACAGCTCCTGGGGTTCGGTCACTCCGCACACACAAGAATTTGGCGGGACATTTTAGACATAAACCATAATGGTAGCCAAAATCCTTTTTAGAGCAACAACAAACCCAGTACTATCACTAGCTTTTTTTGTGAAAAGAGATGACCTTGAGAAAGCTTTTTTATTCATGGAATTTTTCTTTCTAGAACCTGCTTTCCACATCATTAAATGGCTACAAGATCGCTGTTGTGCTAGAGAGACACCTTGCTATGGACCTTTTTAAAAAACATATTCAGGCTTTTCAGTGTTGATGTTTTGCTGTCATAAGAGTTACCTTAAATGTAAACCTTAACATAAAATGCGTATTACTTAAATGACCTCAGTCTAGGGGAACCAGGTAGAAGAGACTTCAGAGGTCCTGGTGTCAGACAGGATTCCTTTCTACATTAAAGTTTGCATCAATACCAGCCAACTTCTCAGGGCTAAAGAATGCATTTGAGGGTAAGAACACATGCCGTACTGAAGGAGTATATAAAATGACAACGTTGTGTTAAAACCTCATGCAATTATAATGGTTCATGATAATATTTTCTTTTTGGACCTTTAGGGCCATGGGCTGACTAGCTTAGTTTTGTCCTTACATTTATAGCTACTCTTGTGCACAAGATTTGAGGCATATGTCATTATGTGAAACGTGTGATCAAAGTGGGAAAAAAATATAAAGAGTAGATTCAGAAAATAACGTAGAATTAAGAAGTCTGAGGAGAAAAGAGCATATGCAAATAAGTGGGTTGTAAACAGCCATACAATTCTTAAAACCGGGCCACATATTAAGACTGAGCTTCCTCGCTAACAAAGCAAAAAGAAGAATTACAAAGTTTTCCATCAAAGGAGGTATTTTCTTCAAGGTAGGCAGAGCTTTTCCAGACCTAACCTTTATTGAAATTGCCTTTCGCTTCCCGCTGGCCCTGGCTCTGGTTGAGCTCCACCGCCCAGCCTCTTACTGTCAGTATTTTCTTCCAGGAACAATGACTCATTCTTTCCAGGACACTGGCTCTTGTGGCATACACGAAGATGGAAAGCTATATGTCGTGGATTCCATAAATGACTTAAACAAACTCAACCTCTGCCCTGCCGGATCGCAGCAGCTGTTCCGTACGTGTCACCCCTCCCGACTTCTAGGCTGCCTAAAAATAGCCGAGGCCACCTTGGATGTGTGGGTGTGGTGGGGGCAGGGCTGTCGTTAGCAATGGGTTGGCCCTGGAAATGTTTTCTGAGTACTTCATAGGATTAGGGGGTTTCCTGGCTCACTCCTAAGCTAGATTTGAACTCTTGTCTTCAGAAATCCTGAGAAAGTCCTGCGTCATCTCTGTCCCTGGGAAGGCGTGGAGCCTGCAGAGCTGGACTCGGAGGCTGGCTCAGGTTGGGACTACAGCTAGGTCCCCGCTGGTGCCTGCTTCACCCCAGGGTCCTTGTTCCTCGTGGACTGAAAACTCTCAACACATTCTCCACGTTTTTAAACATTAAAAATCTGTTGGACAAAAATCCTTCATTTTCTACTTACAAATTTCCCAATTCAAAGTTTAGAAAAATTTTTGTGCGTGTGTTGGTGGGGCACACAACACAGATCTGTTGAATAATAAATGTGTATCTCGCTCCCTAAATGTTATAGATAAGTTCTGTGAGATCCTTCGGAGCCCCGCCTTCTCCAGCTTAGGCCCAGGCATTCAAACACAGGTTGTGCACTTGCTGCTTTTTTGTTTTTCTGTTTTTTGGTATTTTTTTTGTTTTTGTTTTTTTGGTTTTTCTCCGGTACCGGGAACCGAACTCACGACCTTGCGCTTGCCAGGCAGGTGCTTTTGCCGCTGAGCTAAATCCCCAGCCCCCTTGCTGCTTTTTTCATATGTGCTCAAACTCATTGTCCCTGTCATGCTCCTAAATTCTTTCTCAATTCATGCTTTTCTCATCATTTTAATAGGTTCAAGACTTCACCTGTTTTTATTGCAGTCAGACTCAATAAAAATGTTGATGTCAGCTGATGCTGTTGCTTTAAGAAGCAGCTGTTGAGGTGACATGGGATGTACTTATTACACATGGGACATAAGCCACCCATCAATCCACAATCAATGTGTGGGACCACTTCAAGTAGGATATACAAAAAAATGATTCAGTAACTTCACTGCCCAGTCTGACAATAATTAGGCATGTGGGTATTACAAAACAGTGAGTAGATGCAGACAAGTCAAAGCTTGGTGAAATGAAGCTCCTTCAAAACATGGAAAAGAACCTTGCTTCTAGAGGGTATCCATCCTGAAAATAACTTGGAGATACCAAAGCACAGCAGGGGCTCTTTTATTTATACGGATGTAGACATCCTCGAGAATTTCTGTCATAAATAGATTCCCGGGCAATACCCCCAAGTACTTCGTCTTCTACCCAGGTTACGTGGCCCTTACTTGGCTCTGTTTTGCTCCTGGGTTCTGTTTTGCAACTGAGTTTCTTCAGAAAGAAAGCCGCAGAGATTCTATCACTCTTTTCACTTCTTATTCTTTCCCCACGAACAAAGCATGTCTTGCTGCTTTAGTAATAGCACAGTCTTCAAAAAACTTTCGGAAGAGGTCTAAGGAGGTGGCTTAACCCTGCTCATTCTTTGAATACCAATATGGAAGATGATAAACAATTCCAAAACTTATCCCAGTCCAAAGGCATTCCTCACGCATAAGCCACTTTCCAAGTTGTCAAGAGAAAATGCTTGTGTTCATGACTCACATCTCTAACAATGGGATACTGGCATTTCTGCTGCAAGTTAATGCTGTCCTCCTTCTTGTTGTTTTTCTGCTGTTAGCTCTAGAGGAGAAAGTGCCAGGCCTGGGCACTAACTCAGGAAACGGAAGCCGGAGTCTGTTTTTTGTGGGGCTGCTAATTGTGCTGATTGTCAGCCTGGCACTGGTTTTCTTCGTGATATTTCTAATAAGTAAGTACCCACCTGCTTCTATGGGGTTGCTTCCTAGCTGGTTTTCCTAGCTGGTTTAGCTTTGCTTCTGACCACCGTGCTTTCTGACCATCAAAACTTCTCCTATAAGAGGGAAAAACAAAGATTTGAGTGAACCCCTTTGCTGGGGAATAGGGTCCCTCGGACCATGCTGACTTCATTTGGCCATAGAGCCAGAGGTCACAAGCACAGATGTTAAGTCTTTACACAATACTTTCATTGCTCACTTGGAGCTTAGCTGCTACATGATAGGAAACTTATTCTAGTGAATTCTGGGTTTTCTTTAACTCTCAGACTTCTTAATTCTGCCTTATTTTCTCTGAGTCTGCTCTTTATTATGTAATTAATTAACAGCACTGTCCTGTGTGACACTGCCCAGGCTGGCATCCTTCTGATATAACCTGCCCTGTCACCTCTTGGCAGCGTGACTGACCCATGCATGGTGACACAGGCTTTCTCACATCAGGGCCTCAGCCTACAGAGCCCCTGAGCTGTCAGCACCATTTGCTCTCTGCACGTCTCCTCTCACCCTGTGATGCCGTCCCCTCCTTCTGCATGTGGCCCTTCCTACGGAGCCCATCCGTTCCTCCCTCAGCTCCCCTATGTACTATAATCTACAACTGTTTTCATTCTCTCACAATCCACTTAGAAATGCAAGGAGCCTCGGGGCAGGAGTCATCTTTGGTATCTGCATTAATGGTCGTTCTGATGCTTGAATAAAATACCTGAGACCTGTGACTTAAAGGTGGAAAGGTTTATTTTGCCTCACAGATTCAATCCTTGCTTGGTTGGCCCGTGTTGGAAAGATGGTGAGCTCTTTCTGGGTGGCTGGAAGCAGAGAAATAAGGAGAGAGCCAGAGGGTGTCGGGGGTGGGGCGCAAAGACGGAGAGACACAGAGACAGAGAGCCACAGGGACACAAGGCACAGAGAGACAGAGAGGCTGGGGACGGAATGCATCCTTCCCAGGGATCTGCTTCCTCCAGTGAGGCTGTCTCCTGACTCCATGTTCGGCGATGAGCTCATCGATACACTAAACCATTGGTGAAGTTAGTGCCCCGGTGATCCAGTCACCCTCCAAAAGCCCCAGCTTGAACATAGGAGCCCTTTGTGGGGCCGTCATTGATCAAACCATAACCACATCCTTTTGTGATCCTGTGGATCTTCCACCCTGTCATTTCTTCTGCACTTTCATGCTTACCACCTCTGATATATATATATATTTTTTGTACCGGGAATCGGACTCAGGACCTTGCACTTGGCAGGCAGGCACTTGTGCCACTGAGCTACATCCCCAGCCCTACCTGTGATATTTCTAAATGAGCGTCAGAGCCCTTCAACTTCGGAGTATGTCTAATTCCAGATGCAGTGGAGGAGGTGCCGGTCCCAAGAGGAGCATGTGCACAGGCCGCTTGGTGCTTGGTCTAGCCTCCTTTTGTGTGTGAAGGCTCTTTTCTCTTGGCCTGAGGGTCTTTACCTCAGGTATTGGGGTTGGTGGGAAAGCGTAACATTTATCTGCTTGTCTCTAACCTAGCCGATGCCCTCTGGCACCAAGAAGCTAACTCGTGAGTTGTCCTTCCAGTAACTGTGAGCTTGCTTGAGCTATCGGTGGTGGCGGAGGGTTGGTTGCTGAGCCTGCAGGGCCGGGAAGAGAACAGTGATGGTGCTTCTGAAGTCTTACAGAGCTCAGGCTCTGCCTGTCATCGTGCCATGCCTGCCTGAGAGTGGTGTCCCAGGCCACTAGCAGGAAATTCTAGATATGTGAATAAACACATAAGCAACCCAAAGGAACATCTGTCTCAGGTGGTACGCTGAAGCAAAATGATGATAACAAATGCCAAATATAATAGGTGCTTACTCACGCTCAAGCACTGTGCTGATCACTTAACGTTCATTCATTCCAAACCCCTGACAGCTATATAGTGTAGGATCTGATAGGTCCAACCCCCATGTGCCCCACACCACAGCTGCCTGGGTTCCTGGAGTGGCTGCTCCCAGCCACGTGAGCCTGGGCAGCAGCACCTACCCAGCGAGGACACGGCACTCCCGCTCCACCTGCTGCGTCATGGTGCACCCCACAGAGCATTAGCTGTTGCTATGGCCACCTACACCGCCATCCTCACTCCCCCAACCTCCCCGCCCAGCTCTACCCATCAAAGGCCCAGCTCAATAAACTTGACTTGGCCTCTCCTTTGGAGTGACTCCAGGGGTTTCCGCTAGAACCCTAAATTCAGGCTGGCTGTGTTCTTTATCTAACCAGACCTATTATTATTATCCTGAATTTACCAAGGCTGAAGAGGAAGTTCAGTGTGCTCATGATCATGAAGCCAAAGCAGGCCTCAATCACTGGCTGACCTCAAACACCATGCACTTTCTCAACATCGTTTTGTTCCTCTTGTTTGAAGAGGGTTTATTTTGTATTTGCCTGGAGTGATAAGAAACAGAAAGATGATGTGCATAAAGAATGTCTTTTTATTGAACAAGTTCCGTGTGCCAGACTCATTAAACTCATTAAGTCCTAACTCCACCCCTCAAAGTGGTGTCTAATATTTTTATTATACCCATGAAAGACCAGGCCCAAAGAGTTTTCTTCTCCACATTCCCTGGCTTAGCTGAGGCAGACCTGGGACTCAAACCATGGCCAGCCCAGCTCCAGAGCTCCCAGAGCTCCTTTGCCTGGGTTGAACTAAGAATAAAATCTACTTGGAGTTTTCAGATAAACCTTAATCCCACCTAGGACCCAAGTTGGTGCAGGCATCTTTAAGTGAACTTGACTTTCTCATCTTTAACAGGGAAGCCATTTTTTTCTCAGTGGGCTTCAGTGCCAATGTGTGTTCTTTTACCTGAAGTCCGTGAACTTGTAGTCTTTGTAACTCTGACGGTTTTACATGAGAGAAGCAGGAATGTTTATATCGATCACATTCTTACTAAACCGCCAGGCCTTAGGTTTTTGTCATAATCTATGTGCTAAGGAGGAATAGTGGACAGCAAGAACAGATCACTGGGGCTGCCTGTCTGCCCCGGGTAGCAGTTCTGAGTGACCAAGCTGGTGTTCCGTAGGACACCAGCTCCATAGGATAAATGCTGCCTTCGGGGCTCTGTGGCCCGTGGGGTCTGAGAACTGTTGGCCTGTGTAATCTCAGTGTGTTCCTTTACTTCCTGCGACTATTCAGGGGCAAGTAGGTTTGTCATTTGCTCTGAATTTTCTGTGCATTGAACATTTTCTCTTTGCATAGAATTTGTTTTAGGATTAGGGTACTGTGGAGGAGACTTAGGTACACACAGTTGCTACTTCCTTCTGGGTGGGATTAATATACTAGTGGGTCCCAAGAGGGGAAATGATTTCCTATGTCATGGGTTTACTTCCATTTCACATTTTCTCAGAGAAGCAGGTGGTATCTCTCTCTGGCTGAGCAACAAAGTTCAACTAAGACCTTTCTCCCATATCTGGGCCATGTCTCACCCAGCAGAATTTTTCATACATGAGGGAGCAGTAACTGCTGGGCCTATTTGTCCCAAGGCCAGGAGGTGAACCTCTAACATCCAGTTCATTTTCCCTGCGTTAGTTTATCGGCTAAGCCCAGTAGCATGTTGTCGACACCGTTAGCTCCTGAAAGATACCTTTGCAGAAAACTTGCCTGCAGCGGAAGTGATAAGGAGCTCAAATATGAAGTACTGATTTGGGGCTGCATTTCTTGGAAATTTTAACTCTGATAAACAGACCTGCAAGACTTCCATCCCCTAGTTTACCATACTGCCTGGGGTTCTGTTTATTTGGAAAAAAATACTGAGTTCTAGTCTTAAGAGTGGTATGAGGGGAATTATTACACATTCATTGTGGGCTGGTAATTCAGAACCAGCAGACGTGTCCAAATAGGCCGGGACCCAAAGAATGTCATTTTCAAATGAGCGAAGGCCATTTTCTGACACTGGGACCGAAGCCGAGATGATATGACAGTCACTCCTGGGGAAATAATCAGAAAGCTTGGCAGTTTCCTTCAGCTGCTCACAGCCATGTCTTTCTCAGCCAAAATCTGCGTGGAGCTACCAAAGGCGGTCTAGGCTGGCACGAAGGGGTTGTAAAATAATTAAGTCTTCACCAGTTTCCTTCATGGGCCTCCGGGATGCGTGATCTAAGAAGAGGGGATTTGCCAACGGCGCCTCTTAGCACTCAGCGCCAGCGTCAGGGAGGGTGAGTCCAGTGGGACACACTGGACACCAGTGTAACACAGTCTGTTTTCTGTTTTGAAGTTCAGACAGGAAACAAGATGGAGGATGTGTCGAGACGATTAGCAGCCGAGGGAAAGGACATAGACGAGCTTAAGAAAATCAACAGTATGATTGTAAAACGCCTCAACCAACTGGACTCTGAACAGAACTGAAGAAATGGTTTTCCAAGAGCAGCTGCTCAGTCTGGAACTTCTTACTTTCCTGGGAGGGCACAAGTTTCAGAACTGAGAAAGTGCCCTTTGTCAGGCAACTGACGATCTGATCAGCAAAACCACGTCTCTGGGTCAGGGATGTGAGCAGCTCCAAGACAAGCAGGTTTGGAGCCAGCAGCTGGAAAAGGGTGAACTTAGCCTCATTTTCTGGTAGGGTACTTCAGCTTTCACGGGGTTAGGGTGGGTGCCTAGCATGGGGGTGACCCAATAGAAAGCAAGAGGGCCCCGTCACAACTCCTCTTGCAAAAGAGCTTGGTCTAGAGTTCACTGTGCTGATGAGGTCCGTGGTACCTCCCACATCTTTGCAGACTCCTGTGAAGCCTTCGTAGCAGGTCGGTGGGCTTCATAGCAAGCTGCTGCCTGGCGATTGCTGGTGGAAACATGGGTGCTAGTTAGGGTATGTGGTAGAGCCAGGGGATCAACAGAAAAAGCCTAATTAATTCAGCAAATATTTATTGAGTATCTGCTTTTGCAAACCACCCCACTCTAGGGGAGCTCGCCCGCAAGTGTGGGGAACGGAAGAGGCATAGGGCATTGGACAAACCTTGCTTCCTTTGTGTCTCGGAAGAAAACATCCCCTTAGTACCCTTTTCATTGACTTGGAGTAAACACAAAATATGGTACATACCTATTTTTGCACTCAAATGTACCGCATACTTTTTTTGTTAGACTAGATAGCAATGCAGAACATTTTTAAAATCTGAAATTTGTGTTTACTGGAAAATTCTTGTTGCTCTGTTGACAAGGTATTCATCATCAGGATTTGTTGTAAAACTGTTTCAGGTCCTACCGATTATTTGATGTAACAACTCTAAAAATTTCTACTTCTTCCTGTTTGCTCTTATGTCATTTTTCCCTTTCTACTTATACAGTGTACATGTTTAATGCTCAATAATAAATGATATCACTCTGAAAGACTTGTGACTTTAACAGCAGGAAGTGCGGTGGGGAAGTCATTTTACCTGTTGTCTGTGTGACTCCGTTGCACTGTCCAGCCCGCCTCGCTCAGACTGAGGGATGGTGACCCCTCCCACCCACACGGCTTGGGAAACTCCACGGCAACTCCTGGCTTTGGATTCACAAGTTAACAATTTCCACTGAACACATTTAAAGGTATTAACCGACTACATGTAGTTTTGTAGAAATCAACGGCAGTGGCTATGAGTGAGAATCCAACTTCCTTGTTCAAATCCTGGTGTGATCGCTCACTGTGACTTGGGGAAAGTTAACCTCTTTGATTTTTTAATCAGTAAAGTTGGATGATTATAAAATCTGTTTCATAGTATTAGTGTGAGGCTTAAAAGAAGTAATACAATAAAAAAACTCAATAAACTTAATTTTAAAAAGTAGTAATAGTGTTAGAGACAATAAAATGCTAGTGTTATTGTAATGTCTATTGCTAGAAGTAGCAAATAGAAAGTAGTAAATGGAAGTAAACTGTAACAGTCCAACCTCTCCCAGGTGAGGACCTGGGGTGGACATTGTTTCCATTGTGTTGTTTGTGCTTGGGATCACTCTCCTCTCCTCTGACCAGGCTGCAGGGATGGGAGTATTTCAGCAAAGTAGCTCCTCTTGCAAGAAGTAGTCAGTAGAAGCAGGAGGGTTTGTTTTGTACTCTAAGGAGCATAAGGATCAACATTTGCCTTCTTGAGATGGAGCGAGGGTCCTCTCCGCCCTGGACTGATAAATGGTTTGCCCTCAGGGTGCAGTGGAAGGAGGGAGCCTGGACCTTAAAGGCAAAGGAATAAAAGCAAAACAGAAGGGGCCACACTGTACTGACCTAAGACTTGTCTTGACCGGAAAAGAAAGTTTTGCAACATTTTTGGACTTTTGGGGTATTCATAGGAAGCTAAGAAAGATACCTTTTCCTTATAGTGGACTTCTCCTGCATACCCCTTCTGGTGTTGCCAGCCACGAGGGGAGGGTTACGAACATCTGACCCAAAGTCCAAAGGCCTCTCACAAGTAGTTCTCCCATGGCAACTCCCTGTACTGAGCCTGGCCCAGTCCTGCCCACCGCTCTCTGCTGTGACATCCGAGGCTATTGGGGTAACTAGGAGGCCTCAGCTTCCTAGAAAGCCTGTGTTACCCCTGCAGGGGTACAGGGAACTCGTCCTTTGGAAATAGACCAGGGTCATCTGGCCAGGACTCGTCAGGGGACACCAGTCTTCAGTCTCCTGGACAAGTACAAAGCAAACCAGGAGGTTTAAAAAGAGCACAAAACACTTTGTTTTTGCTACCAACAGCTTGTGGAAAGCGGAAGATTGCGGTGAGTGTGTCATTTGGACCGCGGTGTCTCGCAATATATTGCACAGACTATCATGTTATTACATTTTATTGCTCAGCAGGAAAAGTTTTATGGAAACAAATTTTCCTTGAGTCAGGGTATATAAAATAATTTTATTCCAGTTTAAAATAATGGCTCTATTTATATTCAGTAGAGAAGGATGAGCAAAAGAAATATATCATCAGAAAAGGCTGGGAATCTTTCCTCTCTGGAAATAGGTTTGCCCCAGTGAAGCTGAGAAACTAGGAAAGAACCTTAGGACTGTAATATTTCTACAGTCGGGGAGTGTATCTACACATATAAAACCAAACAAAAAGCCAGAAAACAAACAAGCAAAACCAAAAAGACAACAAAATGGGAAAACAAAATGTTGTGACTGGCACCTTCTTGACCATTCTTACTTGATAAAGTCTTCTTAGTATGAATTTTTCCCCCCTCAGGGGAAATGTAGGGAGAACATTACTGAAGAGAAAAAAAAAAACCAAAAATAAAATTTCAAAACAAGATGATAGGAGGGTAACAGTGGTTAATACATTGTATATTGTTATCTTTAAATTAGTTACTCACTACAAAGTAAGCTCAAGGCCAGCCTAAACTGCTGGATAGTGAGACCCTATCTCAAAAAGACAAAAACAAAACAAAACAAAACAAAAAACAAAAAAATTTACTCAGAGTACAAGATATTGGCATTTAATTGTCCAAACAACATTAGCACAAACCTTGCTTTTCAATGAACTAAGAGAACTTAGTAGTATAACTATCTTAACTATCTTTTATGTACATATATATTTTTGCTTTTCCCTCCCTTCTTTTCTTCATTCCCCCCACCCCAGTTTCTCTTTCCTTGTGAAGTTTCTTCTCATTTTACAATATCTATTGTACATTTTGGAGCTTATTTACTCTTTCAGCTTCTCACACTGGGGAGACAATGAGGCTTACACACGTGCGTGTAGTTTATTTCACGTATGAGTTTGGTCCCAAGTTTATTTACCTATAAATGTCTCCAGTTTATCCTTCTTTATGACTGAGTAATACTTCATTGTATAAAAAGACCACATCTTTTTTACCCAGGGGTGGAAAATTTTTTGAAAAGCAATGAAAAGCAATTCAGAGCGAACTTAATTCCAATTACCGAAAGTGTTAAGTTTGTATGCTGTGCCGGAGAGTGGGGGCTGCACCACGTAGCCTTGTGCTGGACACTACACGGCATGCAGAGGTAGTAGGCTGTTCCGGAGGGGCTCCTGGCCATCCAAGGAGGCCAGAGTAAGAATCCATTAATGTGCTCTAAATGTAACATGGAGAGAACAGCTTCTCAAACACCCACTCCAGTGTCACGTGGGAGGCTTCACAAGTCCCTGTCTTGGACTCAGGGCTCCTGATTTGTAGCATGGAGCGGGATTGGGAATTCATTCTTTACAAAGCTGCTGTGAGTCAGATGGGGTTGGTGACACACCTGTCATCTCAGCTACTAGGGAGCCTGAGGCAGGAGAGTTACAAGTTTGAGGCCAGCCTGGAGAAGTTAGTGAGATTTTGTCTCCCAATAAAAAATAAAAAGGGCTGGGGATATAACTCAGTGGTAGAATGTCCCGGGTTTCGTTCCTAGCAACACATGGGCACACAGTCACACGCGTGCACACACACACACACACACACACACACGCACACACACACGGGGCTGCGAAGGTTCTGGTGCTGAGTGGGTGGCTGGACAGAAAATGGATTTGTGGTAGATTTGATTTCAGATTGTGGCTCTCCGTGTCTGATCTTGAGCACTGTCCTTGACTTCTGACTTTCAGGATGTTCCTCTGTAGCGAGGAGTGAGAGCATAGGGACATGGATAGAAAACCCTTCACTTTCTGCTGCTCACAAGTCACTAAAAAAAAGACTTGAAACTATATTAACAGCGAGAGTGACGTAGTAACCTCCGTGGTCTCTGGTCACGGCCCCCACAGATGTCTTCGGGGAGCATACGGACCCCCTTCCTTCCCCTATCTTGCTTTCCATTTCCGTGCTCACCCCAGCCTTTCCCGGTGTCCCCAGCTCCTGAGCGGGCCCTGGCTGACGCGCAGCTCTGAAGGGTGGGGGGCTCCTCTGTCGGCAGAGCTGGGACCCAGCACTGGGTCTCCCATGGGAGCGGCCAGAGCGGGGTGCTCACTCGACTTACTGCCTAAGGGGAGCCAGAGAAGGTCGAGGGCAGCAAAGCAGTGGCATTCAGGACCTGGTCTAGTGGTGGGTGCACATTAAAGTCACCCTGCCCAAATGCCACGCCAGTTCTGCAGGAATCCATCAAGTCTGGTTTCAAGGCAGGGCTTCCCATGGCCCATGTCTTCATTAGAAGACATATTGTGGGCCCTTGGAGAGGAGAAGATGGTCCGTGGACGCTGAGAGCAGTGAGCCATGGTCAGATGTCCCTGCTCTGATGCGACAGGTTAGACTTACAAACAGCTCTAAGATAAGACAACTCTGGGATGAAAACATAATCTATATTAAAACATTCATCAGTGAGTCAAGCGAAGCCAGTACGGGTCATGTACTGTGAGATGCGACCTCAGTACCAGTGGATGAAAGAGCTGAAGAAAGAGGAGGCGCTACTTCTACACCACCTGGGGCAACCTTTGCAGTGGCGGAGAGGACGAGGCCTGTCTCACATTTAGTTCAGCTTTCTCTTTGAAAAAGTCTCCATTTAGACACAACCTGTGTTACCCCTAAATTTCCTTCACCTTATCAGAGAGGGGGAACAAAAAAAAACCTAGACCCGTAAGAATTCACAAAATTGGTCAGAATGAAACTTTTATTTTTTGTTTCTTTTCTCTTCAAGGTTGGCGTTGCCCATAAAATACCCAGGATGTTTCCTGCGACATTTGCTTCTGGGGGTGTGAAGGGGAACAGGAGCAGGGAGGGCAGCTGCGGTGTGAAGCACAGCCCACCTGCGAGCCTGTGGTATTTGACGTCTTCCCAGATGGAGGAAGGCGGGAAATATTTCACGGTAGATGAAGAAGGAACGGGCAGTGAGCTACACAGAACTGAATGTAGGAGGAGGAAGGCATGCTCCTAATTTTTCTTTATTTCTTGAGCTCCTGTGATGCTCAAGTCCCCTTTTCAATTTGGAAAGATTCATTATTCATGCACAAAGCGTCAAGGAAATGGATCAAGCTTATTGCATCAGGAATATTCTTTCTGGGAGCAGAGCGCCGCTGCCACAGAGCGTTTACTGTCTGCTGAGCAAATGGAGCAGACGGAACAATTAAGGAAATGGTTAATAGTTTATTATGCTTCTCAAGTGCCAAATATATCTGATTTTTTTGTGCCCTAAAGTGATTTTCAGTATTACTGGAAACAAACTAAATTAGAATTCTATCTCTTCTATCCCTTTCAGCTTTAGCAAACGTATTTAATATGGATGAGCGGGGTTCAATTTCTGAATTACTATACATCCAGTGATGGGTTCAGAAATAGTTTCTTATAACTCAGAAAGCAAGTGATAGAATAGACATTGGGCAGCCTTTGGTGTACGACTGAGGACCTTAAAAAAAAAAAACCCTCAACTCACAGCTGATGGAAAACCCAGGTTCTCTCCATATTATTTGTAGAAGTTACAGAAAGGTTTTGTAATTGTTTCTCCCATCAAATCAATGCAATCTATT